ACAGCATTCAGGTTCCAATTGGGTATGAACCAGACCCTGCCGATCTTGCTCTTTCTAGCATTCCTGGTCAGGAAATGTTTGACCCTCGCAAGCGCAAGTTCTCTGAGGAGGAGCTCAAGCCCCAGCCGATGATTAAGAAAGCTCGCAAAGTCTTCATTCCCGAAGATCTGAAGGTAACTTGGGACTGGTGTCTAGGGCTATGCCGAGGTCCAGGCTCAAAGGGGAAAAGGTAAATTGGAGGATGCACAGGTAGATACTGTAGGTTACACCCGTTGGCAACTTCTTAAAGAAACAGTGTCTTTTTCTGGCCTCTGCCACGGTTTGACAAAGACAGGAAGGACAGCAATTTGACGTGGTACAATGACATTTGGCAGGAATAAAGGAATATTGTATTATGAGAGCAAGTGAAAGAGAGCTCTCCAACCGAATCTCCACAAGTGGAGTTGGCAATCCTAGATTCTTAACCTAAGTAAAGTAGAAATTGCAGAGGGTTTCTTTTTTTTGCTGCATTCATTTTAATTTTTGTACCCTTCCTATTGGTGAACAAGGTGGGATCACCTTAAATTCAGGAGGGTCTTCCTTTCAGGGAAGTGTGGTCTGCTTCTTCCCTGAAATCAGATGTTGTCCAGTGAGACTACTTCCAAGAGTATAGATCTTGAATTGAAATTCTCGATTCCCTTCTGTGCTCAGAATGCTGGACACAACGCTGTACCAATTATAAATAGGATAACCACGAAGAACTGCAGATGCAATAAATCTCGCTTCTAAATCCTGAGCTTCTAATATGCACAGGATGGCAAAGATTGTTCAGAAAGATTTGTGACAGAGCTTTAAAAAAAAAAAAGCCAACTCAGGCAGGGTGGGGTGCTAATCCCCTTGAGCAAGTTGTTATTCCAGCATGTATTATCTCAATTATTTTAAAAGAGTCACCAGGATTCTTTTTTTTTTTTTTAAGCCAATCTTGTTTGCTATATAATTCTGCGGTCTTGGAAAAGTTAAGAAACTCTCTGCGTACATTTTTGCATTCATTTGAGACACACAAACCTGTGAACAGAATAACGAAGGGGAGGAGGTTTTTTTTTTTAAAAAAAGACATTAAATGCAGAGAAGTCCTAGTAAAGTTGCTGATAATCTTTGTGAACTGGATTAACAGGCAATCACTTCCCGGAGTTTGCGCTGCTTTGTCTTGTTCCCATTCCTAGCAAAATGCTTGACGAAAGTTTATGTTTCCTTGTGTTGATTGGTGGCAGAATTTGGGTACAGAGGCAAGCACAAATTAGATCCACTGATAGTCTCTGGTCTATGTATGATTTCAAGCGTTTGCTGTCCTCTCAGACTGGGGCTGGAGGGGGAGCGGGGCCAGTTTTTGGGCACTCGGTCTGTAAAAGGTTCGCCATCATTGGTCTATTGGCTTGGCTATTGATTCTGTTCAATAGGGATACTCCAGGCAATTGAGGGACCCCCTTTCAGGTGACCAGGTCTTTCTGGGTAAGATGGGGTCAGGGGATCCTCTGTGGGGTTGCTGTGAGAAGTATTCTCAGCCTCTGTCAAAGTTGCTTGGCATCACTTGGAATTGGATTGCTGCTGAACAGATCCTATGGAAGTACCTGAGGTTCATCTAAGCTCAGTTGTCTGGGAAAGGTTTGAACTGATAGATTCAGAGAAAGTGGACAGGTCCTTGCAGCTATGAGTTTGACCCCTATGTTCTAGGCTTATACCTTTCCTGGCTGGTTACAGGTTTCTAGGTGGTAGCCTGTGGTTGGGTCCTCATAGTGGGAGAGGTAGTGCCCACCTGACTTGAAACATGTGGTGGTGTGCCTTCTTCTCAAGACCCTCCTGAGACCCAACTTTGTTTAAGTACTCAGCTTAGTGGGCCCTGGATAAAGTGGATTATCTGTACCTTTCTCGGGCTAGATTACAGTACCAAGATGACATTGGCTTTGCTTGTGGGTGACATCTGGAGAGCTGGGGATGGGTTAGTGCAACCTTCTTGGCCCACATGGATCCCTCAACAGCTTTCAATAGCATTGATCAGTTTTGGGGCTTGAGAGAAGGGACAGTTTGTTTCTGCTGGAGAGGGGAGGGAAGGGGTCCAACCCTAGGCCTCTCTTGTGTGGGAGTGCCTCAGAATTCAGGACTATCACTGCTTCACTTCAGCATCTAATGAAACTGCTGGGCAAAGTCATTTGGCAGCATGAGTTATACACCTCCATCCCTGGCCAAGCAGGCAATGCCATTCAGCAGCCTGGAGGCTCTGAGGGTCAGGATAGAGAAAAACCGGCTCAGACTCAGTCCTGGCAAGAGAGAGTGGCTTTGGGGTTTTCATATCCTGAAGTGTCATATTTTACTCTTGATGGTAGCATTTCTCCAGATGTAGCTAATGCACAATTTGGGATCCTGCTGGACTTACAGCTCATGCTGTCACTGTGCCAGTTCCTGCAATGCACTTTACACGGGGCTGCCCTTGAAGACCATCCAGTAAATACAACTGGTCCAGGATGCAGTGGCATGCAGAGTTTTGGGGGTTCTATTGTATTGCCCATATTACAACATTGCTTTGCAAGATGCTTCCAGTTTCTTTCGGGGTGCAATTCAAGACGCTATTTATCCCTTCTGTCCCTTCGATTGCAAGGAGATCCAAATCGGTTAATCCTACGGGAAGCCCACCCTGACTAATCTTTGGAAGGGTTGAGCTGAAACTCAAATGCTTTGGCCCCCAAATGAGAAGAGAGGGCTCATTGGAAAAGACCCAGATGTTGGGAAAGATTGAAGGCAAAAGGAGAAGGGGATGGCAGACAATGTGATAGTTAGATAGTGTCATTGACACAGTGGCCGTGAATTTGGGCAGACTCTGGGAGACAGTGGAGGGCAAGAGGACCTGGCATGCTGTGGTCCATGGGGTCGTGAAGAGTCAAACATGACTTAGCAACCAAACATCAGCAGCAAAACGTTATCAAGTTTAAAGCCTGTGTGGCAGGTCATCTCTATGACCACCTGTCCCTGAGGGCATCTGTTCACTTCCAGCAGATTGGACGGGGGTTGGTCTGTTCCAGGCCCCTTCTCCCTAGGGCTGTCTTCTAGCTGGACCAAGGGAACACTCCGGCTTTCCTCAGGGACAGCCCCTGTCCTGTAGAACATCCTCCCTCTAAGATCCCCACCCTTCTAGCCTTCCAGAAAGTTTTAAATGACTGGCCCTTCTCTCAAGTGGGGTGAAGCTGGAATCTAACGATTGCAGGGTTTTGATTCATTGGAGAATGTTGGGTTGGTGCTGGGAGTTGTTTATTTAGATACCAGCTTTATTGTTTTTATTGCTGGTGCTATAAGCCACCCTAGATTACCGCACATAAGATGTACAGCCATATAAGTCTCTTAAATACGTGAATACATTCTGATCATGCTGATGTGACTTTTCGTTGTCAGTTCAATATCATTCCCAGGACGGCATTTGGAAAAAATGTGTATGAGAAATACAGAAGAGAGAAAGTCTTTCTCCTCCTCATCACTGTTAGAGCAGTAGTACAGGGAAAAGCTATGAAGTGCAGGGGTCATTATGCTAGCTCCAGTTGATTCCTAGTCATTTCCATCTGATTTACACATTTATGTCCCACTTTATTAATTTTTCCTGCTCGTAGGATATCCTTTAAATCAGGTTTTCAGCAAAGTGCTAGGTCCCACTCATAAGACCTAGTACTTTGCTAAAAACCTGATTTAAAACATATCCACAGCCAAGATATGATCCATTGACAATTAGGTTTATGGAGCAGAAATGTGTTTCTTTGTACAGTTGCCTGGAAGTGAGCTCCAGTGAATTTATTGACACATACTTTTAAGTGCTAAGTAAGATTTAAGTAAGGGTCAGATCTTTAAAAGCAACCTACTTGAACAATAAAAAAAACAAGAAATCTATGTTGAGGCAATTAGAAAAGAAGCTTTATACTGATGTGGTTATTATTTGCAGAAACATGAGAAAAATGTCTATATTTAATTGCCATTTATTCAAAATAATAAGAACTGTATTAATTTAAGGTTGGCAAAAGAGAATATTATTGGAAGAAGAGAAAATCAAGCAAATGGACTATAGAATTATAGAAATTAATTGTTATTGATTGTTTTTTAAATACTAACCCAGACAACACACTGTTTACCAAATATTAAGGTGATTATGTTAAAAATCAATAAAACATATTTTTTTAAAAAAAACAACAAGAAATGTCTTTAGCTAGTTAAGATGCAAATCATCTAGCAAAGAACTTTTGCTATTTAAATTGGAAGAGTGGAACTTTTATTGTTTAAATTGTGAGAAAAGAGTAAGAGTTCCATCAAAGAAACTTTTTAATCTCTATGTCTCCTTCCTATCTATCTATCTATCTATCTATCTATCTATCTATCTATCTATCTATCTATCTATCTATCTATCTATCTATCATTATCTCTATCTCTGCCTACCCGCCCGCCTACCTACCTACCTACCTACCTACCTACCTACCTACCTACCTATCTATCTATCTATCTATCTATCTATCTATCTATCTATCTATCTACCTATCTATCTATCATTATCTCTATCTTTGTCTATCTGCCTGCCTGCCTGCCCGCCCGCCCGCCCGCCCGCCCGCCCGTCCGTCCGTCCGTCCANACCCACCTACCCACCTGTCTGTCTGTCTATCTATCTATCTGTCTGTCTGTCTGTCTGTCTGTCTGTCTGTCTGTCTGTCTATCAATCATCTATCTATCTATCTATCTATCTATCTATCTATCGATCGATCGATCGATCTATTTCAAAATAAACATTAAAATGCAAACAAATAGATAGGCAGTTTGTATCTATTTCTGTTTTAGAAGATATCCCAGCACTGCAAGTGTCATATTGCACCTGCTTTTCAACATAACAGTGTTTGAGTTGAACGCACAGAATACCTACAGCCCTGCTAATGGCTTATGGGCCTCTGTTCCTCTACTGAAATCTAACACCGATTTTCTTTTCCTCTGTGATTAATGAGCAGGATGACAAATACTGGGCAAGACGTAGAAAGAACAACATGGCTGCCAAGCGTTCCAGAGATGCCCGGAGGCTGAAGGAAAACCAGATTGCTATCCGTGCCTCGTTCCTTGAGAAGGAGAATACAGCCCTGCGCCAGGAGGTGGCTGAACTACGGAAGGAATTGAGCAAATGCAAGAGCGTCCTTGTCAAGTATGAAGCCCGGCATGGTCCTCTCTAAATGGCCTCCGACCCACCCGCCCCCACTCCCATCCGCCACCACCCCTGTTTCTTTTCTTCCCATCTACTTTTTTATTTTATTTTATTTTGTGGTTTGGCATTTAAATAGATGGGACAGCGTGTTTCATGTTTGATAGCACCTCACCCAAACCAACTTTTCAGTCATGGGCACTTTAACAGAAAGCAGAAACAGAACCAGTGTACAACCTGTGTGCTTGTGCACATCAGCGCAGGCATACTTGTGAATGAGTGTGCATGTCTGTCTTGGCTCTTCTTGTGTTTTTATGAAGCCCCCTTTGCAGGGTTGGGTTGGCTGAGACTGGCCATAGTAAAGCATTTATGGAATACATACATGTAGACATGTATGTATATATTTTCCAGTGCTGCTTAAACTGTATTTTTGTCTTATCCTATCCCATTCTTTTGATTTAATTGGGGGGGGGGAGAAAGAAAATGAAAGAAAAGCACCCTGGTAATGAGAAAGAACAAGAGAAAGAAGATAAAAGTTAGAGCTGTTTTTGGTTTGTGGTTTCAATAAGGCACATCAGGCAGGGTAAACTTACTGATAATAATGCACAATTGATATTCATGCTGTTCTGCAGAGATACTAATTTATAGATTCGCTTTTTTATTTTGTTTTGATTTTCATTTATTGTATGTTTTTACATTTTGGTAAATAAAACAGACCTTCCGATTCATAATGTATTCTATATTCTCCTTGTAGAAAAATAAGGAACAGCTAACTTTCCTTTCATTGCTTTAAAATCAAAAGTATTATAAATAGGTCAGAGGGAGAATATTTTTGCATCCCTTGGGCATAATCAGTAATTCTCTTGCACAGGTTAAAATATTCCTCATGGGCATTGGATGACTTTCGTTCCCTAATACTGTAA